TCCAGAAACAGGATCACACTGCTGACAGCTTTGCTTTGGAGTGAAGTCTGAGAGGCCACTGAAACCACCATTGAGTTATACCCCAGTTTTTTACCAAGTAAGTCTGACCTTCCCCAGTTACAAGGGACCGTTAAGTTTCTATCTTCATAAGTAGAACATATTTTGGCTGCTTGTTTTTTTTTTTTTTTCTCCCAAGTTTCTAAGCCTGTTGGCAACATTTTTCTAGAGTGCTTTCAAAAGATTGCACAAGATAGCCTCATAATTTTTTTGGGAAAAAAAAAAAGGCATGCTTTAAAGCTAACCTTCTGCAGACCCTGACTTTTTGGGAGGTTGAAAGGAAGACAGTGAGTTTCTGGATGTACCTGTCAAGGCTAAATGATTGTTCATTTCCTGTGAATTGGGAATAACATAATGACACGCAGCTGGGGAGCAGCCTGGGTTTCTTCTTTTCCTCTTCCAGGAGCTGGGCTCCTTACCAGCTGGGAGATATTACCATATAAATGTACTGGGAAAATGAGGAGAAGCAAAAGCATCAGCGTTCTAGATGTCAGCAATCGCCTCCATGTTCCTACCTGAACCAGCCTGACAGGACTTTAGTAACACATGTGTACAAACATTCATTTAATTTAAGATGAAGGGTTATGGGGGGGGGAACAAGGAGGGGCCACAAAGACCCCTTTCTGTGGAATCGAGCTGATTACCCATACGCTGGCTGCTAAGATTATGTATGCTAATGACTGAGTGAGTTTGAAAGAAACAGTTAAGAATAATAAGATATTTTCACCCAGGAGAAATGAATTTGTATCAGAGTGTCTATGCCTTGCTAATGCAGCCATTACCTGGAACAAAAAGAAAGCACACATTCAATACCGACTTTAAAATTAGAATTCAGATTAGAATGAGCTCCTGGGCACTGACTTAAATGCACGCTTCTATCTTTTCGGATAATACACTTTGCTCTGGGTCCCACTCATCCTTACAGTGTGACTGTGTCAGATGAAGGATGCTGAGAGCTGCCCCAACCGCTTCGTTCTGGTGGTCCATCCTGACCCATCACAACTGACCAGAGAATGAGAAGGTGTGGGGAGAGGTGATGCTCAGAGAGTCGAGTTTTCTGCTGCTCCTGGCAATGTGAAGAAGAAAAGGCAATGGGCAGGTTTCTGCCGATGGCGTCTGATAGAGCGTCACCCCTGACCTTGACCTGCGCAGGGACGTAAGACACCTGAGAGATGAATGAAGGATGGCTTCATGTGCTGCTCTGTGCCTGAGATCCCCAATCCCACTAGACACTAGGGTTTAAAACCCACAGACCAAGTCCAGCAAACCCGGAAATAAAGCTTAAACAACTGAAACCCAAAACCCTAAATGTACTCTTGGTATTGAATCCTAAGCCCGATGAAAAATGAAGCTGTAGTTGGAAATGAACTGAAAGGTAAAATTGCTGATTTTATCCAAATCCCTCAGGCATGCCACTTGAATCTAGAGAAAAAGCAGCATGTCCAGCAGGTCAGATAGACAAGATGGCAAGGTGAATCGTTCAGTCGCTGTCCTGGCCACTTGCTGTGGTTCTCCCAGCCCCCTTTCCTCAGGGTACTCCTCCTTAACTGACTGGCATCAGTGCCTCCGTGAGCTGGCTTCTTCCTCTCTGAGTGCTAGGAGCCAGGTGGAGTAAGAAGTGTCACCACATGTTACAAATAACCAAGAGTGGACTAGGGATGCCACTAGTAAAGCCCATACTAGCATGAGGACCTGATGTTACATCTCAGCACCAACATGAAAAGCACATGTCTGCAGTATGCGCATGTCTGCAGTATGCACGTGTCTGCAGCTACAGTGCTGATGAGTCAGAGGCACGTGGGTCCCTGGAGCTCCCTGGCCTACCAGCCTAGCTGAATCAGTGTGCCGGGTTTAGTGAGAGATCCTGCCTCAAAAAATAGGATTCAGAGAACACACTCAACATTAACCTCTGACATCACATACGGATATACACATGTGCACAGCTGCACACAGGTGCATGCTCCATCCCTCCAACCTCCCTAAATGCGAACTGGCGGGCTTACCCCACTTCATGTTCTTTCCCCCAAATCAGTTATTAATACCTGATAGCTACCCCTGTGGCATACGGGAACCAGGATGCAGGAGAGTCAGCTCCTCACATAGTGTGGAGGAAGGAGGGAACTCAGCATTTGACTCTCCAGTTGGCTGTCTCAAAAGGAGAGAAGGTTTGGCATCCATTATAGTTCCAGAGTTGGCTTGAATCCTGGCATGCTTGGCGGGTCTCTTGGTGTTTGGCCATACATGAGCTCTGTTCCGAAGTTACCACACCATGTCCTCCAAGTCTAGATGATGCCTGGGACTCCACGGAGAAGAGTGAGGAGTGAGGGGTGAGGCCGCTTCACAAGCCTTGACATGCAGCCAGTGTGGAGTTCCTACAGGGCCTCTTACATCACAGGGAGCAAATGCTGCCTAGGTTCAGGATGGAGGAGGAAACAAGAATCTCCCAATCCATCTGGGTTTACATTTTCTGCCCGGATAAGCTCTCAATGACCTCAAGGTGATGATGCCCCAACCTTCTCTGATGGAAAGGAATAATGGTCTCAGCATTTGGGACTGTCACACTTCACTGGGGGGAAGACCAGTTTCACGAAGTCCTGGTTGAAATTGTATCATTACACAAGGGTATGGAAATATATTTTCAGCAGAGACAACTTGCTTAACAAATAAAATTACTACACATTTATGTTAATTTACAACATAGTCCTAGACAAGATTGTTTTTGAAGCCACGTGTTAAAGTAGAACAGTAGCTCAAAGGCAGGCTGAAAATTCAACACATTCCTTTTTGCTGGGATGAGTGATACTGATAGTGCTTTTGATTCTCCATCACACCAAAGTATATTTACAAAACAACTTGGGTTTTTATATCTCAGGAAGCTGTCTATTTTGTGGAACTTGTGCATATGAGAGTTTAACACTGATGGTGTTTAGGCCATGATAAATTCATATCTAGTTTAATAACAAGCAATGGAGAGGCACGTTTTGAGAGAAAGTAAAAGGTGTTTCACAGGGAGTTGAACACATCTAACTTAGCCAACCTTGGAAAACAGGGGTGAAGGGACCTTTCTGGGAGCAGAAGGGCCAATAAGCTTTACCTTAACACAGTCAGCAGAGTATTGAAGTGTTTTGAGGAAGCTGATTGGTGCTCAGGCAGAGACTGTGCTAAGATGGACTAGTGATGTCTGTCATGGAAGGTCAAAGGCCTCAGTAGTGGGAGGAAATGAGAACCATTAAAGATACACGTCTTAGTAAAAGCAGAAAGTGCTGAGGTATGGAAAGAACTCCTTTGATGGCATTTTAAAAATTTGTGTTTGTGTGTGTGTGTGTGTGTGTGTGTGTGTGCATCTGTGTGTCTGTGTGTGTGTGTGAGAGAGAGAGAGAGAGCGTGTGCACAGATATGCCTGTTTGCACATGTACCATGGTATGTGGGCAAAGGCCCAGGGACAAATTACTGGAGTTAACTTTCTCCTTCTACCATGTGCATCCCAGAGATCAAATCCTGGTTGCCAGGCTTGGCAACAATTCCCTTTCCCTACTAGGCCATCTTGCAGGCTCTGATACCATAAGCTTTTACCAAAGCAATGACTTACTTAGTTGATAATTTCAGAAGTCACAGACTTCAGGGTGTTATTCTAAACGTTGGATGTGTATTGGCAATTCTAAAAAAAGAAAAGTTTAGTCATGTTGTACTGTTATTTGAAACTCTGGACTTGAGTTTGTCATTGTTACTATAATCTAAGCCAGTCAGGAACATCAGGTTGCCTAAACGGTTCTGGAAGGCGTTGTCTCTGAATTCCATCAGCATTCCTCACAGGCCAGCCAGTCATTCTCCCTAAGGCAGCTTTCATAGTGCAGGAAGCCAACAGCACCATGCACACCACATGGTTGTGGTACCTGTCACTCTAGATACATCTGGGAGACACAGTGTGTTTCCAGCTCCAGAAGAGTCCTTTGCTTCCAGTTAAAATCACAGAATAAGAAGACGCAGTGGGGAAGACACCCTTCTATGAGTCAGATGATGGGTGTGATGGAATCATGGAGCTACTGGGTCATAGAGACCATTCTCTGAGACGGCAAGGTGTGATTTCAGGCAGACAAAACCGTTCCTCAGTTGTAGTATACTGTAAAGTAATGGAATTTACTTACACCACTTTGCATGGTGCTTTGCGGGAGTTTCTCTAGGGGTAGGTTTCCTTGTGTTTCTTAGCCAAACTGTTTGTTCCTCTTATTTTTAAACAGATGGACATCTTTCATTGTCTGGTGATTGAATCCTGAAGACTAAGGTTAAACAGGAAGGACTCCAGTTCTGGTTTTGTGTGTTTGTTTACAGTGAAGCACGTGACAGTCATGAATGAAACCCTCTAAGAATTTGCTACTTCTGTCCCCTCTGAGCTCACAAACCTGTTCTTTGGGACCTGGCAGGACATTCACAGCACCAAGTTTCCAGTTGCTGACTAAATATGCCTTCCTGTCTCCTCCAAAACCAAGGTGAACTCAGCCTGCAATTTCTTTTTAATTTTACAATTTCTTTGAAACAAATTTTCACTATGTAGCCCAAACTAACCTTGAATTCACAATCCCCTGGGCTCACAGATGAGCTCGGCCAGGCCTGTGAACGCTGCAGCCTCTTGAGCAGGCATTCTCCTCCCTCACTTATACACACCACACAGTAGTTGGATCTGTTGCTATTTCTTGCTTGGTTTTGTTTGTTGCTTTTGATTTAGCTTGTGAAAGCACCATGCCTGAGATGTGGCAGGAAGCAGGACGTGACTGTTCAGAATTCTTACACTGTCCTTGTGAAGGGACATGTTATCTCTTCTGCTTCCATATGTCATTTGTCTTTGCTTATCTAGAGAGCAGAACCCTGGCGCCCTGCCTAGGACTGTGTGGGAGCCGGGCAGTTTCTTTCTTGGGTTCATCATTTTGTTAGTTGTAAGCACCTAGTGGAAAATTACTCTAAATATATGTGCTGTAGAACCTTCAGGGGAGTGGATGTGAAAGGTATCTGGAGTTTCTTCAACCCCAGGAAACAGAACAACATGCTCACTCCTCTGCAGACGCTCTACTGAGGTAGGTGGGCGATGGCTGGGACCTTCTCCGCAGCACTTTCAGAGCCTGTGTTGGAAATTCTCCTAGCCTATACTGTATCCATTCAGCTTTACTACAGAGACATGGCATTAAGGATTTCATTTCCTAGGTACCCTGCAGATTAGAAGGACAGAAGGTTGTCAGTTATCAGCCTGTATCTTGGGGTGGAACTTGTGAGACCCATTGTTTTTGGGCTATCTCAAGGAAGTTTCCCTTTTTATTCTTTATCCATGGGTGGCTGAGCCCTTCAAACCAGACCTTCTTCATGTCCCTGCAAAAGCATGTCTTACCCTGCTAGTGAATAGCCTGGCAAATTTTTTAGGAAATAAAACAGCAAACATGTCCCATGATGACACAGCAGTATGCAAAACAAAAATGAAAAATGCAAGATAAAACTAAGTCATGCTATACACACCTCCTTGAAAGAATGAAGCTACACAGGAAGGGCATATTTCACCATCATCAGTATTAATAAGAATGGAATTGATATTTTAATGACAAGATGTGAGTTCTTCATAACCACCAGTAATAATGCTAGAGTTGGGAGTATCTTGAGCAAAAGTGGCATGGTCCTTGCTGAATTTGGTAGCCCAGGCCTCCTCCCCCTCCCCATTCTCATTCTTTTGCTTCCTGGGATATGGGGTGGGGTGGGGTGTCTCTGTCTTTCTGGACTAGACAATGTAATGAAGGGCACACAATAAGGTAAAGTATCAGGATGGATATGTACAGTAGCACAGGCTGTGCACTGCCCATCTTCAGGGGCACACTGTTTACACTCACTGCGGCATAAATGTTGCCTCATTTTCAAGCAAGGCCTGGACAATCGCAGATACTGGCCCTTGACACATTGTTACTCACCTGTGGTGAGCAATGATAGGAGACGGACTACCCATGGCAACACATAGCAACCCCACCTGGCCCAGCCTCTGAGGCGGTTTCTTAAAGGAAATGGCTACAACTGAAGCTCGAGAGAAGTCAGCTGAGATAGCCAAGACAGAAGAAAGGGAGTTCTATCTAATACAGACATGAATAAGGGGTTCAGAATCTACGGTAAGCAAGGGGTGAACGTAAGGAGTCTTGGAGACTCCTGTTGCTGCCGCCTGTGACACTCAGTCTCCTATCTTATAAACCCAGGTCAGCTGTGCTCAGGCTTATGGGTCTCAAGCTGTTCTCTAAGTAGCCCCGGTGACATCTGCTTGTCTGGAGAATTTTGTTCAAAAGCTCTGGGTAAACGTGATTCCCAGAGAAGATCACCATCTTCAGACAGATGGCTCCAGATGTCAGCTCCACTCCTGCCACCTGTTCAACCTGATCAAATGTCAAACATTCCAATTCAGACAACAATTAAGCTGATTGTGATACTTTGCTATTTAAAACTTTTTAATGGAATGCTTACAGAATTTAAAAACAAAATAAAGTTTTCTTGAGGTAAAGTTAAACTTTTTAGTCATCTCCCAGAAGAGTAGCAGCTAATTCTATATTGTCACTGAGCACAATCAACTTACACAGAGTAAAATAATGTTTCAGAGGGAATTATGTGTGCATAGGTAGAGACATGGATCTGTGGATAAATGGAAGGATGTATTGACAGGCAGAGGAGTGGGTGGACAGATAGGTGAAGAGATGGATGGTTAGAGGATGGGAGGGTGGGCAAAGGAAGGGAAGGATGGTGTATTAGCTACTCTTGGTTGCTATGACACAATAACAAGATCAAAAGTAACTAAAACTACTTTATTTTGGCTTATGAGTTCTATTGCAAGAGTCCATAATGGAACAGAAGGCAAGCCAGCTGGTGACCAGAGCAGAGAGCTGACAGAACACATTTTTCATCTGTTCACAGAAAACAGAAAGAGCAGACAGTGTGGCCAAGCCACAAACTCTCAAGCTTGCACCCCACCCCCACTCCACCGCCCACTAAGTACCCCTGTACCCAGTGACAGTCCTCCTCCAGAAAATCTCCACCATCTAACTGTCCTAAAGGTTCCATAACCTGCCCAAAGAGTACCACCAACTGGGGAATCATGTATTCAAACACACGTGACTATAGGGAATAGTTCTCATTCAAACACAGTAAAAAGAGGGGTCAATAGCTGGGAGGCATCATAGTTAGCTTCAGTTGCCAATTTGACATACCAGTGAAGAAGGGCTTCTGTGTAAGACTGGCCATGGGGCCATTCTCTTGATTGATGGTTAATATGGGAAAGCCCAGCCCGCTGTGGGCTGTGCTAGCCCTAGGCAGTGGGCCCAGGTATAATAGAAAAGTAAAAAACTGAGAAAGCCAGAGGGAGAAAGCCAGTTAACAGCTTCCCTCCATGATCTCTGCTTCAGTTCCTGCTTGGAGTCTCTGCCCTGTCTTCCTTCAGAGGCAGACTGTGACCTGGGAATCCTAAGATATAATAAGCAACTTTCTATCCCAGGTTACTTTTGGTCATGGCATTTATAACAGCAATAAAAGGCAAACCAGTACAGAAATTGGTATTGAGTGTACGGTGTTGTTTGATGACCAACTTAACCAAATAGGGTTTGGGGAGGGTCAATGACGTGTTTGGATTGGGGCTGGAAAAAACCATTGCGTTCCCAAAGCTTACAGGCTCTGTGGGTTCTCAAAAGATAGAAACATTGAGATCAATGCAGACCGTGAAGGTCTGGCTTATAAAGTTTTAGAGGAAAGCAAGGAATCTACCAAGACAGAATATGTGATACATATTTAATTAAGAGTCCGTGAGCCTGAAACCTTTGCTTTAGTGGGAAAATGGATGCTGGTCAGTTGGAGCTGAAGAACTCAGCCATAATTAATAAGAGACAAGTGTCCATGAGGAGAAATCTTCTGCAAATATTTCCTCAGGGTCAGGACACAACAGCTGTGATCTGTGGGGATCAAGGCTACATCTTAAGCTGGCAGCTGAACTTGGCCATGTGTAAGAGTCTCTCATGTGTTACAGGTTTGGGAGGCATGAAGAGGTCATGCAGAACAGCTGAGGCTTAGCCCACTGTGCCAGGCAGGGTTGGAGCACAGACAGAAGCCTGGAGAGGCTATTGGTGAAAGTGCAGCCTCAGTTGCAGTGGAGACTTGACCATCTTCATGATGCTATGATTGTGATATGTCCACCATGGACAGCAGTGTAGGATGGAGTCATTCTGTGCCTAAGAGACGAACAGTGTGTGTTGTGGATGGCAGGATAGGGGATGTGGGATTGCCTAAGTCTTTTGGACTTATCATGAGTGAATTCCCAAATTTTAACATTGAGCTTTTTACACTGTTGAATATCAGTTTTCCTTTGGCCTGATTATAACTGCTCTCTGGTGCTTCTCTCGTAGAATAAGAGTATTTAACTTGTTTTTTATTTGACAGGAATCACAGTTATGAGACTTTGGATTATTTTAAAGAGACATTGAACTTTTAAGTAATGGAGTATTAAAAGACTGTAGGAATACATGAGTTTATAGATGGGCGAATAACATGGTGGGCAGATGAATAGGAAAAGAGATAGATCAATGTATAAAGGGATGATAAAAGGAATGGGTGGATGAAGGATGGATGGTGAGTGGGTGGATGGATGGGTGGATGGACAGATGGATGATGGATGGATGGTGAGTGGGTGGATGGATGAATAGATGAATGGATGGATGAATGGGTGGGTGGGTGGATGAACAGATGGATGGATGGATGGGTGGGTGGGTGGGTGGGTGGATGATGGATGGATGGATGGATGATGGATGGGTGGGTGGATGGATAGATGTATGGATGGATGGCTGAATGGGTAGATGGGTAGATAAAAGGATGGGTGAATAGGTGGATGAATGATCAAGCAGGTGGTTGTTCAATCTTTCCCTGCTCTTTCATCTACTCTTAAGAAATGAATGACATTCAAGTAAAAGAATTCTCTATCAGCTTCCTCAGATGTCAAGGTGTATCCTTTCAAATTCCTGTAATTTGACACCAAATTTTGGGGTTTATATGAAAGAGAAAACCATACACATTTGAAAAAGTGTATGCCCAAGGCCATTCGCTTCAATATTGTGCACACTCTAAGAACTACAGTGCCCGAAGGTGTTCATCACTAGAGAGCTGCTCATATAAATCATGAATTTTAATGCACACTGAAACAGTAAACAGCCTAAAAGTGAGGGTAGGAACTCTCATTTTCTCAGACCTTAGTATCATTTTAAGGTGCATTATCTTATTTTTTCCTTCTACCAATCTATTTTTCTCCTGCAACAAGTTTATTGTTGCCAAGAACAAACAAGGCCATTCCTATAAGATGTCACTTAGAAATCCCTTGAGCTAAGCATCCAAGTCCTTGCTTACAAGTTCTGCTTTCCCCATAGCTATGTGACGTAATTGAAACGTTCTGCCACAATACAACAAAAGTCGTATCTCCTAAAGTTTCCAGAACAACATAGTCCTAAGGCATAATCAAAAGTGTTTAGTACTCATATTTCAACTTTCCTTGTATTTAAGATATGGTATATATTCTCATATACATATATATTCTATAACTTTAGTATGTTGTCTATTTCTACTCCAGGTCTGACATTTCTTTTTAAATTATCACCAACACACACAGGCCATTTAATGGACACTAATCTTTTATCCATCAAACTCTCAAAATTCTAATCATTATCCATATTTGAGATCACATATATTTTTAGTTATTTATTAGAACAGCAAACTAATTTCACTTTGAATATCTGTATTATGTTACTGTGGGTAGTACAAGTTAAACCAGTAACGATTACTTTTCTTGTAGTTATGAAGTCTAGGAATCTAGAATTGCTATCATCTCAGTGTACTTAAGGAGACAAGAGGTGAGAATTTATTTCTTAGCAAGGAACTAACTTTATTTCAAACTCTTGTCACCTGTTTTTACAAACATATTTGACTAAATGTCTAGTTAATTTTTTTTTGCTTAAGATACATTTTATAATGCTAAGAAAACATACTTAGCCATTTCATGTTATGCACACTTCTTTTAGTAGAC